CCACTTAGCCCATCAGAGTATCCATTAGCCCTGTTGGCAATGGCCAAAAATTATAACACCAGGGGGTGGACTCCCTCCGGTCGTGCCCCGATCCCCTTTACCAACCCCCTCTGGCTGTGGCGGGAATGGACTGGTGACCTTCCCAAAGCACCAGGGGAACCCCAGGAGCTGGAACTCCTTGGCTCCGCCCCATCCCCTTTCTGCGTCCAGAACCACTGGAAGTGGAGAGACCCTACCGGTTATTTTAACGTTATCCAACCCAATGTTATGTTTCAAGCTGCCTCCTGGTGTAACGATACTGCCCAGATTGAGGGGAACCCTAGCCACGTGCCTCGTCAACTTGAAAAGGGGTTCTTCCTCATCTGCGGCGACAGGGCATGGGCTGGCATCCCTTCTCGGCTGATAGGAGGGCCGTGCACAATTGGGCGGCTGACCCTGTTCTCGCCGAACCGTACACAAATTTTGAATTGGAAAATCAAAAACGAAACATCGGCTTCCAAAAATGTAACCAGAGCCCTCTACAAGAGGGAAATACACCATTTGGACGAAAATTGCTCTGCTGATATATTTCATTGGTCTAAGTCAAAAAGGATCGCAGCCTCCATTCTGTTGCCCTGGGTGGCTGCGGCCAAAGCCCTAGGCGAATTGGGCCGCCTAGAGTGCTGGGTGGCGAAACAGGCGAATTTAACTTCGTCGGCCCTAAGCGACCTCCTCGCAGACGAGGAGATAACCAGGCAAGCCACTCTCCAAAATCGAGCGGCCATTGATTTCCTGCTGCTGGCACACGGCCACGGCTGTGAGGAATTCGAAGGCCTCTGCTGCCTCAACCTGTCATCTCGAGGCAGCAGCATCCATAAAAAGATCAATCAGATAAAAGAAATGGTCAATAATATTAAAATGGAATCTGAGGACTGGCTCGCCAAGATGTTCAAGGGCTGGGGTCTCTCGGAGTGGTTAGCCTCAGTTGTTAAATCCATTCTCACAATCGTCCTCGTCATCGTTGTCATCTGCATCGCCGCGATGGTCCTAAAGACTGTTATCCTAAAAAGCATCTCATCCCCAAAGGAGGTCAACCACACAGTTATAGAAATTGCATCAGAGGAAGAGTTTGAGGACTCGATAATCTACGAAGACATGGCTCCAGTACCTCCGAGGGACAATAACAATAATGTTGTGATGGACAATGATGCCGATCCCCCCGCTGCTTTGTAAAAAAGAAAGGGGGAGATGTTGTGGTGATGGTTCTATTATGTTCTAAGTTGATGTCTTAGTTGTTATAATTCGTTAATGGTTTGTCCTGTGCCCCCCAAGTTATTGTGAAATGGTTTCTCCCCTTCCCGCGTCTTCCTTTGTCCATCTTCCCTGGCCCCTCCTCTCTGTCTGGAACCTTCCCTGTCCTTCAACCCAAATCCTGCCCCGTCAAGTGTCAATCCTCCCTTATCCCGGCCCCAGTTCTCGAATGTTCTCCCTTGTTCTTCCCCTGGTTGGCTACTTATGCCCGATCTCCACCTCCAACCTTCCCCATTGGAGACTTGTGTCTGTCTATCCCCGATTGGCCCTGCCCCAAATGTCTTCCCATTGGTTCACGGTTTGTTCCCTCCCTCGGTCACCACCCCCTATAAAAGATGCTGCCCGGCTTGTCCAAGGGCCTTTGTTGGTTCCCTCTCCCAGACCCCAGACCCAGTTCCCTGCTCCTAATAAACCTTATCCCTGGAACCTTCAAAGGTCTCTCGCCTTCCTTTTATCTCGCCCGGACTCCTTGAGGCTTGGGTAGCGATAGCTACACTGCGACTCCGGTTCCCGCGTGATACTGGAGCGCAGCCACTCCTTGACGCTGCTCGGCGAGCTAGCTGGTGGTCAGTGGAGTGTGACCAAGAGGCCGAAAGGCGTCAAACAGCCAGCTGAATGGGAGCCAGCAGTGCTTCCAGATGGTCATTTGTATCCTGGCTTGTATCAGAAATAGTGTGACCAGCAGGACCAGTGAGGGATAGTCCCCGGCACTGAAGAGACTGCATTACTAGTCTCGTCAGTACAAGAAAGACATTCAGGTACTGGAGGGTGTCCAGAGAAGGACAGAGAATTTAGTGAAGGGTCTGGAACATAAGTCCTATGAGGAGCATATGAAAGCTGAGGGTTTTAGCAAAGAGAGAGAAGAAGGCTCAAGTGACACATTATTGTTCTCTTCAACTATGAGAAAAAAGGATGAGGAGAGTTGGAGTCAATCTCTCTTCTCAATTAACCAGTGTTAACTACATGGGAAACAGTCTCAAGTTGTACTAAAGGAGGTTCCGGTTGGATATTAGGAAAAATTTCTTCATTGAAAGAGCAGTAAACAGGCTCCTTAGAGAAGTGGTGAAGTCACTCTATATGGAAGTGCTCAAAAAAGGAGTAGGAGTCACATTTAGAGCCATGATTTAGTAGACATTATGGTATTCACTCCAAGGTTGGACTCGACGATCTTGAAAGCCTTTTCCAACCTTAATGATTCTATGAGTCATCAAAATCTGGGATTTTAATTGGTGCTCTGTTCCAAAAGCATTCTCTTCCATATTAAAATAAAATTCAAATATTTTAATTTCATTTATGAATAACAAAGAAATCAAGTGAATAAATGTTTTTACATTTATGACATTTACATGATGAAAAAAATAGCTACACAACCATATCCTTCTGCCAAGACAATATTTAATGTCTTGGCATCTTTTCACTCTTTCTGGGTTTTCTCCACGTATTTCTTATTTATCTTTAACATATTTCCCAGCTAATTAATCATTAAAATGAAAATGTTTCCATTAGACTTTCCTCATGAATAGTGGGGCATTTTACATCATTTTATACACTTTAATAAGAGAGAAAAAGTGTGCATTACACACATTCAATGCAAAAAAACCCACTAAATGAAACCAGAAAGCCAAAATTTTTATTTATTCCAGTGTCAATGAGTTTTGAGCTTGTTCATGGACCAGTGGTATTATTTGGGTTTATTAAATATACATTAAAAAAAATTATTCTCTTTTTGAGCTACTTGATGTTAAAATCCCCTGAAAGCATGAACCAAATTACTTTGGAAAACAAATGCAACCTTCTCTTCTGAAAACAGTAATGTCATTGTCATTCTTAAGAAAACCGTTTTGCTAAACACCTGTAATAAGTTGTGCTGCTTCTGCCCCTTTGACATTTGGTGAGGAGGGAAGAAGATATCCACAGAAATTACTTTTCTGAGAAGAGCTGCTGAGAGCTTCCTCCATGTCTGACAAAAACCAATCAGTGATTAGTTTTGAGAACTGACAACCTGTTAAACCACTGAGAAAGCTGAACACGCCTCTGTGAACACACATGTTAAGAACAAACAAGCCCTGGAAAAGCTCTCTTGCTTTCCGGCCTTTGGAGAGAGAAGTTCTTCCCGCTCCCGGCCCGGTGCCAGGGCAGAGGAGGGGAGGCCGCGGGCCCCGGCCGAGGCTGGGCAGGCTGTGGCTGCTGACATCTCACCAGCACTGATCCCTGCCCGGTGCTGGCCTGGGCCGAGCCAGGATCCACCGGGCCCTGGGAGCAGCTCCGGGCCGGGCCAGGCCTCCTCAGCCACGGCCTGCACAGCCCAGCAGGGGCTGGGCAGGGTCAGGGAGCCATGGACCCGGCCGAGGCTGGGCAGGCTGTGGCTGCTGACATCTCACCAGCACTGATCCCTGCCCGGTGCTGGCCTGGGCCGAGCCGGGATCCACCGGGCCCCGGGAGCAGCTCTGGGCCGGGCCAGGCCTCCTCAGCCACGGCCTGCACAGCCCAGCAGAGGCCAGGCAGGAGAAGGGAAGCCACGGGCCCTGGCCAAGGCTGGGCAGGCTGTGGCTGCTGACATCTCACCGACATTGATCCTTGCCCGGTGCTGGCCTGGGCCGAGCCAGGATCCACTGGGCCGGGGAGCAGCTCTGGGCCCCAGCGGCCCCAGCAGCCAGGCAGGAGGAGGGAAGGCCATCAGCAGCATGTCTGGGTTTAAACACAGAAAAAGCCAGAAAACAGCTGTGCAGCCAGAGCGGCCACCTCTATTCTGGCCTGGCCCCTTGAAAATCCTGGCACAGCCCCCCCAGCACAGCTGTCAAAGAATTCTCCACCATAAACAGCTCCGGCTGCCCAGCAGGGATCACACAACCATCTGCAGGCCTTGGGTGAGATATGTACTCTTTCATATCTCACAGATGAGACCTGCAAACATCTGTTCTATCTCTTGAGTGAAAGAAAAGGACAGAGTGAAGACACATAGAGAAACAACATGAAGGCACTAAAAGGTCAGTAAGGAAGGAGTCAGGTCCCAGATGGGAGGGGATGAGGAGTTACCTTATTCCTGGGCTGAAATTCTCTTGTGAGGCTATGCTATATGATTGATACACCAGACTCTTTTCCCCTGTAACCCATTGAAAAGCATGGGGGGAGAAGCATTCAAATTGTAGACATGAGCAAGGGTATCCATGCTGAACAAGCCAATGTTGATGTAGCTGTGATGATCTCAGAGAGAGTTGAAGATAACCTTTGCTTCTGAACAGCTCATCCTTAAAAGTGTACCCAATTAGCCAAAAACATGGGGAAACTGTAAGTCGAGGGGGGGAACTTTTACACAGTGATCAGATTTCCATTCTCCTGGGTGGCTGCTTTGGTAACATTGAAGCCATGAGAGAATTGTTTTCTTGTGGAGAAGTCTCCATAGCATGACAAGAGAGACTCCTCTCCCTAAGTGAACTGAAAAAAGACAATTCTAGAGGTGATAAACTGGCTGATTTGTTTCTGTATGTTGTCACTGGAAAAAAAAAGAGGATGTGGGGGGGAGGAGGAGCATTCTGAAAGTTTTATTCTGATTCTTATTATTATTTTAGGTCTCTTAATAAAGGTTTTCTTTATACCCTTTAAAGTTTGAGTCTGTTTTGCCTTCCTTCTAATCCTATCTCACAGCAGGAAATGTGTAAATAATCCTAGTGGGTGCACTGGTGATTTGGCCAGCACTAAACCCACCACATGAATTGGTACAGTATAGCGGTTAGCATAGCTACCTTCCAAGCAGGTGACCCAGGTTCAATTCCTGGCCAATGTGCAAATCCAGCACATGACTGCAATAAACTTCTGCATTTTTCTTCTAATTTTTAACATGGTTCATTTAATAAAAAAGAATTTTTCTTCATGTTCTTGGTTCACTTACCCATGAATACAATCTATTCAGTGCTCAGTCTTCTTAATATCGTCCTAGTATATTTCCCCCTACTCACACATTCAAAAGAATAAAGGGTTCTAATGAGAGCCCAGGATTGATGAGATAACAAACTCTAGAGAATAATTTTAATGAATTCAACTTCAGGTAAGACATGAAAGCTGATTACAACCTTGGAAATGAGTCTCATCTCCAAAAAACATATCTTGTACTAGTTTCAAAAGTATTAAAAGCAAAGTCAATGATGCTAGGGCAGTCAGAATTAAACACAGCCCTCAGATTAGTACCAGTACCTAAGGTTGAAAAGATCTGAGCTAAAAAGACTTCAAACATAAAAATTTGATAATGTTCTCCCAAACAAAGGATAAAAGGGAATTTAGGGATCAAAGAAAATAGGTAAATTAAGTTCTTCCCTTTGCTGTTGACACATCCAAAATGCAAAGCATAAGTGGAAAAATAAAAGTAAACTAAAATGGCTCAGGTTATCATTAATATAATGTTGAGGGTTTGGGTCTCTCAATGGAATTTTCTCTACTGTAATGTTGAGAAGTTTGCGGGCTACACCCTGGCCGGTGATGGGGGCAGGCGGGGGGAAAGAGGAGGAACACCTCGAGATCAGGGGGCAGCTGCGCTCTCGCTGCTCTGGCTCGGAGAAGGACGGTCGCTACAAACTCCGCTCCGCCATCCCGACACGGGGGAGCTGCCTTCCTTGGCTGTGGGAACCCGCAATCTCCCTGCCCGGATG